GGTGCTGGTGGTAGGTGGGGGGGGGGGCAGGAATGGGACCCAGGCGTCCGGGCGATGGTGCTGGTGGTAGGTGGGGGGGGGGGCAGGAATGGGACCCAGGCGTCCGGGCGATGGCTCTCACTCTCCCCTCCCCCCTCCCCAGCGGGCTGCTGATCGCCATGGCGCTGAGTCTGCTGTTCCTGCTGCTGCTGCGGCTGGTGGCCGGGGTGCTGGTCTGGGTGCTGATCCTCGGGGTGCTGGCCGTCACCGCCTACGGTGCGTGGGGGCGGGGCCGTGGGCAGGGGCGGGGCCTGGGCGGGGGCGGGGCCTGGGCAGGGGCGGGCGGGGCTAGGGGAGGGGCTGGGGGGGCAGTGTCCCAGGAGATGGAGCCCGGAGCTTGTAGTGGGGGGGCAGGCGCCAGGGCCCGTGGGGAGTTTGGGGGCCAGGGGCCGGGTGGAGGCGGGGGGGGCTCCTTGGCAGTCCATGCCCCCCCATGTGACCCCATCTTCCCCCCCCCCCCCCAGGGGATCTACCACTGCTGGCGGGAGTACAGCACCTTGCGCGCGGCCGGCGCGACCATCAGCAACGTCGGCTTCACCACCAACCTGAGCGTCTACTCCAATGTGCAGGAGACGTGGCTGGCAGCCCGTGAGTCCAGGGCCCTGGAACCCCTGGGGCTCCGCTGGGGGCCCCCCCAAAACCCTGGGGCTCCACAGGGGGGTCCTGGTAGGAGCAAGGATCGACTCCCCCAAATGGGGTGCTGCTCTGCTGACCCCTACATTTGGGGGTGCACCCTTACTCCTGGGGAGCCCCCCAAATTCATCCTCCCCCTTGATTTAGGGTCATGTCACTGAATTCCTAAACCACTGGGATGTCTTGACTTTGGGGGGCATCTTTCAGCACCCTGAAATTCAGTGATTCCTGAATGCAGCTGCCTGAATGTGGGACCCCTTTAGAAAGATCCCCCTAAAATGTGGGGGTTTGTCGCTTTCTCCTTGGGGAGCATCCCTGACACCCCCAAAATCTGGGAGTCTTTCCTAAATTGGGGGGCTTTCTGGACCCCCTAAACTGCAGGGTTGGCTGAGCCTGGGGTCCCCTGTGGAAAAGGGGGAGCTGTTTGACACCCCAGTTTGGTGCCTAAGTCCAGGCCCCTCCCTTCCACTGAGGGAATTTGGGGGTTTGTCTCATTTTAGGGAGTCAGTAAATCCCGCCATGGGAACGCGGGGGTCTTTATTGAGTCCTTAATAAGTGGGGTGCCCCAAATCTGTTTCTTCTTGAAGTAGAGGACACCCGTCTCTCTCCCAGCAGCCCCCCAGCCCTGTCTGTGCCCCCCCCCAATGTCTCTGTCCCCCCAGTGATAATCCTGGCTGTGGTGGAAGGCGTCCTCCTCCTCCTCCTCATCTTCCTCCGCAAACGCATCCTCATCGCCATTGCGCTCATCCAGGAGTCTAGCCGGTGAGTTCCCCCCACATGCCCCCGGGGGGGCAGGGCAGCCCCTTGGGGGGCGGGAGGGCGGGCATGGGAGCCCCTTAGGGGGAGGCACTGGGGGTCTGATCCTCCCTAGGACACCTTAGCAGCCCTGGCTACTGTCCCTTTAATGAGGGGGTAGGAAAGAGAGTGGAATCGGGGACGTGTTAACCTGTGGAACTGCCCGACACATTATTTGGGGGGAGAGAGAAAGGGTTAAAAGCAGGAGGGCCCCACGGGTCAGACCTGTGCGGGGTGGAAACGGGGCTGGATGGGCCCATGGGTCTGACCTGGGGGAGGGGAGGATGCCAGGCGAGCTACACCTGATCTCCAGCAGACGGGATGCCAGGTTAGATGGGCCCATGGATCTGATAGCCGGTGGGGCAGCGAGCTCTACGTCTCTATGGGGAGTGGGGGACAGGAGCCCTGGGGGGGTCCCCAAAACAGGAACTAACATGGGGTCCCCCTTTTGTCTCCGCTTCCAGGGCCATCGGCTACATGATGTCCACCCTGTTCTACCCACTGGTCACTTTCCTCCTGCTCCTCATCTGTGTGGCCTATTGGGCCATGACGGCTCTGTATCCTCCGGCCGCCCCCTCGCCCCCCGGCCGCCCCCCTGCTGCCCCACCCACCTCCCGGCCAGATCGGGGCCGGCGCCCCCCACAGGGGACAGGCCACTGAGCCAGCCAGTCCCTGCCCTGGGGCCAGGTGGGAACCGGCGACCCCTAGAGGGGCGAGGCCCCTGCCCCATTCCCCGCCCCCCGAGCCAGCCAGTCCCTGCCCTGGGGCCAGGTGGGAACCGGCGACCCCTAGAGGGGCGAGGCCCCTGCCCCATTCCCTGCCCCCCTGAGCCAGCCAGTCCCTGCCCTGGGACCGGATGGGAGCCGACGCCCCCTAGAGGGGCCAGGCCCCTGCCCCATTCCCACCCCCCTGAGCCAGCCAGTCCCTGCCCTGGGGCCGGATGGGAGCTGGCGCCCCCTAGCGGGGACAGGCCCCGTGTGCTCCTGTTGTCTCCCCTTGACTGCTCCCCCCAGCTATCTGGCCACGTCCGGGACTCCCTTGTATCGTGTCACCAGCGGCAATTCCAGCGACCCCAGGTGCTTTGGGATCTCTGGCAACGACACCTGTAACCCCATGGTGAGAACTCAGGAAAGAACCCAGGAGTCCGGGCGCCCAGTCCCCCCGGCTCTAACCCCTAGACCCCACTCCCCTCCCAGAGCCAGGAGAGAACCCAGGAGTCCTGACTTCTAGGCCCTCTAGCCCAGCTGAAATTGGAGGGGCCGTGGGCTGACCCCGCTTCTCCCTTCGTGTCCCCACCAGACTCCTGGGTTCTGCTCCCTTCGTTCTCAGGCTCCCGCTCCCGGCTCGTTCCTCACTGTGTTCGTTCTCCTCCTCTCACTGGTTCCTTCCTTCTCTCCCCATCTGCCTTTGGGCCCCTTCTCTTTTCCGTTCCTTCCTTCCTTCCTTCTCTTGCCTGTGGCTTCGCCCGCGGTCAGGCGTCTGTCCGTGCAGCTGTCCGGTCGTTGTCTCTGGGCCTCTCCTTCCTTCTTTCCATGTTTGTTCCTTTCCCCGTCGGTCCCTTCGTGCTCCTCTTCCCCCGCACGCCTCCGTTGGGCCAGTCGTTGTCGTGTTCTTGTCGTTTATTTCTTCCTTCTCTCCTTCCTTTTATCTAGCCATTCTCAGGATCGCTCATTCCTTTACCTCGTTCTCACGTTCTCTCGTTCCCAGATTTGTCCTGTTCCTTTGTCTGCTCGTTTTCTTGTTCTCTCCTTTATTCCTTTATCTGGTGGTTTTCTCCTTCCTTTGTTCTCCCATTTTCTCATTTATTCCTCTACTGGCCGGTCTCACGTTCCTTTCTTCCTTTATCGGGTGGTTTTCTCGTTCTGTTATTTGTTCCTTCTCTGGTTCCTTTTTTTATCAGGTGGGTCTCTCGTTTTCTCATTTGTTCATTTTCTCATTCCTCTATGGGCCGTTCTCTTGTTCCTTCACCGGGTTGTTGTCTCCTTTACTCCTCTGTTGGCTGTTCTCACGTTCCTTTATTCCATTATCTGGTTCTCATGTTCTCTCGTTCCTTCACCTGGTGTCCCGGAGTCCCCGGGCGATGCTCTGGAACTGCTCCCCACAAAGCCAGTCAGGACTCTGGGGAGCCTCCTCTCCCTCGGAGCAGACTGTCTTCAGGGCAAGAAGCTCACACGGCTTCACCTCCTGGGTCTCTCCTGGGAGCATTCAGCATCTGCCCCTCCGTGCGCTTCCCACAGCGAGTCCGCCCAGGCGGGGTCCTGGGGCAGCCAGACGGTCCTGCACCCCCACTTTGCAGTCAGACGTGACTCTCAGCCAGCCAGTAACACAGAGGTTTATTAGATGACAGGAACACGGTCTAAAACAGAGCTTGTAGGTACAGAGAACGGGACTCCTCAGCCGGGTTCATTCTGGGGGGCAGCGAGCCAGACACCCACGTCTGCCCTCACTCCTAGTCCCCAGCCAGCTCCAAACTGAAACCTCCTCCAGCCCCTCCTCTCTGGGCTTTGTTCCTTTCCCGGGCCAGGAGGTCACCTGACCTCTTTGTTCACCCACACCTTCAGCTATCACCTTGCAGGGGGGAAGGGCCTGGCCATTAGTTGCCAGGAGACAGAGGGTCGGCCAGAAACTGAGGCACCCACACAGTATTCAGAGGAAACATTAAGAACCGTTCTCGCATTCCTTTATTCCTTCACCGGGTGGTTCTCTGGTTCCTTCACCGGGTGGTTCTCGCGTTCTCTGCTTCCTTCACGGGGTGGTTCTCGCATTCTCTGGTTCCTTCACCGGGTGGTTCTCACGTTCTCTGGTTCCTTCACCGGGTGGTTCTCCCCTTTACTCCTCTGTTGGCCATTCTCCGGTTCCTTTGTGGGGCCGGGCCCCGGCCCCAGCTCACGCTGTCCCTCGGCCCCGCAGACGTTCAACGCCTCCCGCTACCTGCCCTGCCCGGCCGCGGGCTGCACCTTCTACAAGTACAACGACGAGGGGCTCTACCAGCGCAACCTCTTCAACCTGCAGCTCTACAACGTGGTGGGGCTGCTGTGGGCGGCCAACTTCGCGCTGGCGCTGGGGCAGTGCGTGCTGGCCGGCGCCTTCGCCTCCTACTACTGGGCGCGGGACAAGCCCCGCGACATCCCCGCCTGCGCCGTGGGCAGCGCCTTCCTGCGCACGCTGCGGTGAGCCCCGGGCACCTGGGTGCCCCCTCCCTCCTGCTGGGTCCCCCCATTCCCCCGCTGCCCCCCCGTCCCACCTGCTGGGCCCCCCATTCCCCCGCTGGGCCCCCTCCTCCT